TCATAAACTCCCAGACTGATTCCATAGTACCAGAAAACAGCTCACCAGATTGCCTGCACACCTCAAAAACTCAAAAATGTTATGTCTATTCTACATGTTAGAAAAATGCAGACACACCAAGCTGAGGCCCCATAACTCGTTATTTTATGTCCTTTGTTTTGCCTACAAACAACCTTTTGCCAAAAGATGCCAGATTCACCACGTCATGTTTTTAAGTTCTTGATGGGTCAAGAGATAAACAACTGGACAGACCTAAAATTCTGACAGAAAACAGGAGATGCAAATGGGGCACAATCAAGTAGGAAATTAGCAAATCAGTGGATGGACAAGTGACAGGATTCCCTGCTCCCTAAGAGAAAAATCAAGCTTGTTATACCCAGCCTGTGCCTGTATCAGAGCATCAAATAGGAGTACCTATGAGCGTACAGCAGATACAGAAGCCTGGAACTGGAACGGTGACCCATGTGCTGAGATGTGGTTTGTGTCTATGGATAGAGCACTGCTGAGCACATCCACCACCTTCACGGGGTGAAAACGTGGAGCACAACCTGGCACAGATGTGCTGTGCATTACCAGCTGAGACCTGCACCAGGACAACACTTCAGGTGTCATCAAATCTCTCAGAAAACTATACTGAAGAGACCCTACCATCTGCACACAAGACACACTGAGCCAATAAATTCCATGCAGGTAAGCTATATATTAGCCCCTATGCACCTAACTAATCTGCAAATTAAAGATTAGTTATTTTGCAATTAGTAATTCTGCAAACCAGAATTACTCCTTTCCATGCCATTCTTCATTGCATTTTCTGAACTCAAATATTTCAGTTTCTTGCAGAAGGTTAAAAGAAAAGTAATCCCTCAGAAATTTTGCTGTCCAACTTTTTTTAATTGTAAATCAGTAAAGTTAAAGGATGACAAAGAAGATTAACCTCCCACCTATACACCAAAACTTTCCTTTTCATGGGCAATGGGGCTTAGTGCACCTGGGAAAAGAAAAAAGCCTCCTCACGCAGGGCAGGAGGGAGCACCCTGTCTCAAAGCTCCCTGGGAATAAAGACACCAGCTTGTCATTGGTGTGGCATTAAGGATCAATAACTCTGGAGCCTGAAAGCAGAGCATGCAGGAACACAAGTGACAGAGCAAGGAGGACTGCCTGACTCACACAAAGCACCGTTTACTTTCCCTCTGCATTTAGCACTGGGGCCCTGGTTTTGGGCAGCTGGCACCTGCATGGTTCCTGTGCAGGGGCAGCAATACTGAACTCCACCAGCACCAAGAGGCTCATACCCACAGAATGGCAGAGATGGGGCACAGTAGAGGCTGTCATAGCAGCAGGACCCATACAGTGGCTGTTCCTGCCTTCCAGTTGAGTAATGCAAGCCCATTTGTTCTGGGTGACATTAATGCTATTCACCATCCATCTACAGACTCTTTAAATTACCTATTTATGGCCAAAATCCCTTTCATAATTGATAAAAATCTCTTTTTTATAACTCAAGTTATTGAAAAAAGTGAAGATTTTTATTCCTCATTATAATTTTAATACAAATGTGTTTTTTTTATTGACAGCTGCTTGAAAGCCCTGAAAGGCCTACTGAGAGAGACTAGAGGAGGGGTGGGAAAAGGGCCAGATCTTCCTGTCCCACAGCCAGCCCTGTGCTCATTACAGCAGCATGCAGAGTTATTGCCATCACAGCCCCCACTCTGGGGTGTAACAAGAGGCTGGCAATGTCACAGAGGAACAGGAGATCTCCTCTGCTGGATACAAAACCCACAGCAGGCACAAGAGGCTTTCACTGACCTAATTGCAATTTCCCCGTGTCTGGTAGTCATGTACACGAGGGCCAACTTCAAAGCACACACCTGGTACAGCATTACTAGAGGGTGCTTAAGGTGTACTATTAGAATCAGGATCACAAGCAACAGGAGACCTGGACTCAGAGGTTTTGCCAAGGCATATACAGCATGTTTGTGAGAGCCATCTGGTATCAGACGCACAGCATCAAGAGTGAGAGCAACTGAGCACTACCTGAGTCACAGCAGCACATTCACGCAGAGCACTCTACCACTCTGTGCAAACCTGGGGTAAACAGGCAACTCTCCTGGCATCCTGGTCTGGTTTAACAACACTGCCAGCCTGGGAGGTGGCTGGCTGGGGCCATATCAGGATCTGCAGCATCATAATCTGAAGACCTTGTCATCTAGTAGGGCAAGTGAATCTTCTCCAGTATAACATACGGAGTCAGCTAAAGAAAGTGTTTCACATTCCCTTGGGAACAACTTGGATGCTGCAGGACATGCAGTGTAATATCCAACAGCATACTAAGTCTTTAATACTCTCCCACAGAGTCAAGTACGCTTCAACAGTCCTGCACATCAGAACTAAGCATATGTCTTGCAGTGCTTAAAGAGCAGATAAACAATTCCTGAAATAAAGGAATCAGACTGTCCTCTCTGCCATTGCTGTGGCAAAGGCTGCCATGCTGTACCAAGAGTTCATACAGAAATAACAGTAAAAAGAGATTCTCCTATTCCTGCTGTCCTTTCTCAGACTGCAGCAGCTCAGTGGCAGGGAAGTTTCTTGCTATAATGATTAAGGTTGTCATAGCAAAAGCCAGGGCATTAGTACCTTGCTGCATCCCAGCTCTTTTCCCTGGTAGGTTCACATGGCCATGTGGCATTGCATGTGACCATGCTCCCCTGGTGTACATGCTTATATTTCAACAGTGGATGCATAAGGCCCGTGTACTCAACAGAGAAACTGTTGGGATCACCACGAGCAATTTAAAGTAGAGTGACAAAAGGGCAAGCCTCCCTCTTAGCAACAGTTTTTGTACAGGGATAACATCTTCTCAGACAAGAAGTATGTTTCCTCTTGCACAGCACTAGTGCAGTGCCAACACAAGGGTAGGAACGCAAAGAGAGCAAAGCCCATTGACTAAATAAAGGCTGGGTCCCCCAAACACCGCTGTCTGTAAAAATACATCTTGATTGAGAAACCACAGCACAGGACCACTGCCTCACATGCTTTGTTCACTAATCATAGTAAAACCATCAGCGTATCCCACCTTGCTCAAGCAGCAAGCTCCATGACTGTACGGCTGCAGGAGGATTCTTACAAACGGTAAGCTTGTCCTTGCACTGGTATAAAAGCCACAGCCTTGGAGGTGCAGGCTAATCATGCAATTAGAAACTACTTCCCATTACCAGTGCTCCCACAAAGCAAGGCTGGACTGACATCCTTCTAAATGTATAGCTTTACACATATTCAAGCTCCTTATACGATTTGCCTTCAACAGAGAGAAGAGTCAACCTCTGGGCTCACCCCAGCCCTTTCTCCCAGCTTTGAACTAAGTGAGCAGTGGAAGCAACAAACTCAATCCCTGCCAAGCTCTCAGTAAGGGCCTGTTTTGCCTTTCAGTCTTCCCTGGAGCCCAACAAACTCTCCAGCAGTAGTGTAAGTGTATGCTGATGTGAGAAATTTTGATGGTCAAAGTTTCTAGAGGCCTTTAGCTTAACAGCAACTGAGACTGCTCCCGTTCCTGCAATTTTCACTCAGCTCTTGAACAGCTTCAGTAGCTGCTTGTGAGGGGCCAGAATCATTACAAAATCATTACAAAAAACAAACAAAATCCTAAATTTACCACCTTGTAACTAATAACCATGGACATTTACCTGTGATTTTAATACCTCCCAGTTTCACCAGTTATTCCACTTTCATATATTCCATTCTCTTTCATTTCTCTCTTCTTTCAATCATTGTTCTCTTTCTCTTTAGCATTTCCTCTTTCTCTTCCCATTCCTATCTTTTTATCCCCCCTGTCTCTTTAAAATTAAATATCGCCCAGCACTGCCCATGTGGGTGCTGTGAATGCTAAGAGGAAAAAGGGCTGCTGTGGAGACTGGATTCAAGCTGTCTCGCTGGGAATCAATGAGGCATGGAAAGCTTGCCTAGCTCCCAAAACGCTGAAAGAGACCAGGATATGTCTGTGGCAGCTGAATAGAAGGACGGGCCCACCTCCTTAGCATGTGGCTCTGCTTCTGAGAGACACCACACAGGCAGACAGAGGTGGCTGTTTTGATCATTTAGTAGCAGCTAACCTCAAGGTGGTTTTTCCACATCTGCAGAAGTGAGATTGCAGGGTGAAGCCCCATAGAGCAGCAGGGAGCAGACAGCCTGTCCTGCTCCATCTATCCACTGAGCTATGAAACACAGCTGGTACTGGCCAGGCTCTGAGGACACAGCGCCGAGAAATGAAGCATCTAGCTTGCAGGAAGGCAAAGAGAATGCAGGCCAGAAGCTGACACTAACCCTGCCATTCAATTGCAGGGAATACAAACTGTCATTTCTAACAACAACCACCACATCCAAATCCATCCACAATTTATCTACTATGTAGGTGCAAATACTTCAGTCAAACCCCCTTGTTCTCTCCACACCTCCTCACCACACAGACTTCCTGAAACACCCCCAAAGAGCCCCATAAACCTCTTTTGTATCAGCAGCTCTGTATGTGCACATTGCTTCTATTCTTCAACAGCCTGTCTCTCACCCAGCAATTCCACCTTTTCTACTACTGCCTTTCCACAGTTTCCTCCTCCCTCCCACATCAGCTGTGCTCCTTGAAATGCCCCTGGTCAGCCTGGGAGTTGTAAGGCAGATCTCTTCTCATACAGGGCAAGACAAAAAGCAGCAGAATGCTCTCTTTAAATATCACAGTTACTTTCCTTATATCTGATGAACACAGACACCCACCTCTGATCTCAGTGCTGCAGCCTGTTGGGGGTTAATGGTTACAAATTCCTTGGATATTATGCTACCTGACTGCAAGCACCGAAAGTGATTTATGCTATTATTTTCTTCAAAGGTTAATTAGGGGCTCAAAAATCTAAAGGGTTGTCAGTGCCAGCTGGAACTGGTCTACTGCAGTCAAGGGAAAGCAGTCTTTCCTCACAGAGCCCTGCAAATGCATCTTTGTCCTGAACAGCCCTTACCTCTTTGCCCAGATCCTCGCGGATGACTTGCTCGATCTCTTGTCTGGTGCTCTGTGGGGCCTGGCTGTGCAGCACCTTGAGCGTGCGGGTGTACTCCTCTGGCAGCAGGTAGTCAAGTGCCCCCAGGTGCTGGCCCACCTTGATGAAGGTGCCTCGGTTAGCACAGCACAGCTCTCGGAGGCGCTCAGCAGAGCGCAGGTGCACCTGCAGAGAGACAGAACATCAGCCAAGCCCTTTTGCTACCTATTACATGCACAGAACCACGTGTACACCTTCTATTTACCCGCTGTTGAAACACCCTAGGAATTTCCATTCTTAATTTTGGGCTTCGTCTGCGTAAGTTAACTATTAGGACTCCACCTTGATTTAGTGGGACTGAAGTAGACCAGGACAAGATACTCCAGAGCATAAGGGGCTTCCATGTGTATCTGCACAGGCACCATGATCACGGACATCCAAACAGCTTTTGGCTCTGCCCAGGGCTACATCTTCACACAGAACATAACATCTACCATAATTATTATCCACCACTATGATGCACAGGGAACCCTTGTCAAAAGACAAGTGTCAGTACTGCAAACAATACTGGACCATGTTTGAAAGAACAAAGAATTCAAGTGAGAAGAAAATTGCAGATACCAACCTAGGAATAATCTGGAGCCTGGAAGAAGAGTCTGTTAAAAAATATTATTAAAAATAATTAAAACTACAAATATCTCTGGTAGTGAGGAAGGGCAATACATGGAAGTTCTTCACACTCCTCAGCCAAAAGGAGAAATTACACCACTCAAGTCCAGACACATCATAGTCTTACTACTCACATTGCCAACAAAGTGACAGTAGTTTTATGGACTGGGAATTAGGAGACTTTAGTTTTGCTTACACTAGCCAAAAAGCATGGAAACGACAAAAACTATCATCTACCACTTGCCCATTCCTGAGGTTCACTCTGCCTCTCAAGAGCCAACCAGTTACCAGATCTGTTATTGACAATAATTTATTCTGCTATTATTACTCTCAGTAGGAAAGCCTCCTGCCAAGGACAGAGCTACTCAATATTCTTTCATAAACTTCAGATAAGCTTACCAATACGTTAATAAAATCTAAGCAAATCAATGACAAAAAGCAACTATGTGCCCATCTCCTGGCAGTGCTCAGCATCTGTCTTAATAGAGGCCCTTAAATTCCTATGGCTTCCATGTTGTAAGTCACTGAAGGTCAAATCCTGCAGTGCAGACCTCATCTGGCCAGGAAATACCAAGATACCGGGGTAAGGAACTCTACTGAAAGCCGTAAAGTACGTGGTAGAGATGAATACCATCACAAAAATGCAGAAATGTCACTACATCCACACCCACAGTCTCCGTTTAGTGGCCGCTTCTGCCCTCCATGCAAAGCAGTGCTATGTCACACCACAGGGCACGGCAAATGTCTTGCTTCTGGGAATGTCAGGGGACAGGCTGGATGCTGAGCTGCAAGTGCATGAAATACAGGCCAGGGGGAGTGTGAGGAGAATGTGAGAGTCTCTCACACTCTGCATGTGAGATCTGACAGCTTGATGCACACATGCACGCATATACACACACACACACACACACCTTCCCTAGGTGGCCACACACAAGCAAGCATAAATGCACAAAGAACATGCTTATCTCAGCATACTGCCTGCTCAAAAGCTCTCACAGAGGCATAAGTAGAAAATAATTTCCACAAGCAGTCCTGAAGCCTCCCATATTCCTGTGCTAAATCTTATACACCTCCTTTGAAGCTCTTGCTGTAACAAGCAGGGCTTTATCCTGGTTGCTTTCTGCTTTTCCCTTCTATGTGCAGAAGAAAAAGCAGGCCAAAAGGGGATATGGAAAAGAAGCTGTGAAAAGGACAAGAAAACAAAGGAGAACATGGGAAGGGAATAATGGGATGAAAGAGGAAAGCAGGAGGAAGGAGGAAGCCAGAGCAGCTGGGTATTTTGTCACAGCACAGGAAACTCAGCCCATTACAGGAACGCAGCCTGCAGTGCAGCTTTGATAACTGCCCTCTGCATAGTCCTCTAGCAGCAGAGGAAGTCCTGCTGAAGGCTGAGTGGGGCTGACTCCCCGAAAGTGCTGGGCCAGCTGCAGCCCAGGGCACAAGAAGGACACAGCACCAGGCCTGCCTCCTTGCAGATGCACTCGAAAACCTCCAGCACCAAGTGAAGGCCAGCACATGGTCTGTGATTCCCACAAGATGCAGCAGGAGCCCATTGAAAGGCTCTGGGCTGCTGCACAGCTCAAAGTAAAGCACCAGACATAGATGCCAGGGCTGTAAGACAGGACTGTCTTACACTGGCCAGCTAGGACCAGAGGCACTGGCCCCGAAGTATTTTGCCACCTTGCAAGGATCACTGGGAAATGGCTGGGTGGTGAATGACCAAAGGCAGCTGGGAGGAAGGAAAGCTCAAGTAACTGCATATACAATCAATGCAGACACACTTGGATGCAAAGTTTATCTTCTTGCCTGTCACTGCAGACATGACAGGAAGTTTTAGCCCTCCCAAACTTATCCATCCAGCAGAGAACGTAGTTTTGCCTTGTGATCACAGCAATCCTTAACAACAGAGACAATGGCACTCTGACAGAAGAGTTAAATGGATCAGGAGCCCCACACCCAGCACTCTCCACAGCATGTTTATGACTGGTCTGGCTGACACTGAGACAGCTGCCCTAGATGCTGTCAGGATCAGGGAACAGCAGCTCCTGCCCAGAGAGTGTTGACTGAACAACATATATTGGAAAAAGAAAACCTAACTGTAGCCTTCAACTCAACAAAACTTCAATCTTCATTAAAGGTGAAGGTGAGAATGAAGCAGGACTGTGAATCTCGCTGTCAAGGTCTCTTTTCTTATCACACAGGACAAGGTGTTCAGAAGAAAAACATTCTTACTGCTATTAATTGATCTCAAGTCAGGTCATTGTCCAAATGTAGTATTTGTTTCTTTCATCCTAGCCATAGGCAAAGTAAGAGAGCCACACTCCTCCTACCGTGCCTGCCTCTGTTGACCCACGTTTCTGCCCCATCTCAAAGAAACTGCACGGTGAATGGAAATCCCCCAGAATGCCTCAGAGCTTTCTCCAAGGAATCTCACAAGATACTGCTTTGCTACATAAGCAATACCTTGAAAATTCTTCTTATCGGGGAAAGAGCTAGGAACAACAGCTAGTTAGACATGGACCTGCTTGTATGCACCCTGCCTAGGAGCATGCTGCAAGGAAAGGAAGCGTTTCACATACAGAGGATTACCAAGAATAAGCTTCCCTCAGGAAGCACTTCAGATCACAAATGCTGTCTGAGCATGCAGATGGCTGCTTCCCTAACCCACATGGGCATCTCTTTCTCACTCCATACTCTCTCCAAATTTCAGCACGATCAATTGTCCATTAGCTTACAGCATGGCTATCCAACCTACGTGGCTTGCCTAAACCCTGAGACTAGAGTGGGATTAACACTAATTACTAAAATGGTTCCATGTGGGCCATAATGAAAGCAGGAATTCTCAGATTTAGAGACACCTCTGGTATGAAGCACATAGTCTCTGCAAGCAGGAGAGCACGAGGACATTTGTTAATTTACTCTTGATGTACAAGCAGATCTGGCTGCTCGAGCCATTTTGTTGCTTTTGAAGGAGTCTTTGCTCACGGAGACCCTGGCAAAGCAACAGACATGCAGGTGCCACAAATGAGCAGACATTAATCTGACCTTCAAATGAAGGAACTAATTTAGAAGATAATAAACACCAAAGCTAAGATTTCCTGGTGCCAACTTGAGTATTTTATTTAGTGATAGAACTGGCAACAAAAGAGCTCAGAAAGGCCACTTAGGACAGCAAGGTAAGTGGCAGAAGCATTCTTCATATGAAAAATCCTTCAGAAGAGTCATTCCAACCCTGAGGGGTATACTCAAAGTTGGCAAAACGTGAAATAAGGATTAGGGATGCAGAGAGAAGAATCTGAAATGCAATTAGTCAAAGACATAACAAACAAGTCAGCAGAAATTCCTGGTGATGAGAGCTGCCTACAAGAATACTGCAACCACAAATTCCTCGGAAAGCCCATCAGTCTGGATTTTTACAGGAAGATGGGTCTAGAACAGCTGCTCCTTCCTCTCACCCCGCACAGGGCAGCACACTTGGACAGGTGAACAGCAGCAGTTCCACACTGCTTCCTGCCCATTCATTTTCACTTTAAGGCCTGGTTTTATGAGGTCCTGGGCAGCCTAGTCTAGTGGGTGGCAAGTCTGCTCACAGCACAAGGTTGGAACTTGATTTTTAAGGTCCCTTGCAACATAAGCCATTCTATGATCCCACCTACTTCTCAACCTGAGCAAGAGAGGGGGGGTGGAGATGCCTTCTCTTGCCACTGCCAGATTCTGAGAAGTCTGCCATAGGCCTGCCCATCACTGCTAACAGTGGGGATACGCTCTCCACATCAATATTTTTAAAAAGCTGAAAACATCAATCATGTAAAAATTGCACATGATTTCAAAAGGTAGCTGAAATGTTAATAATGATAACAAAGAAAAAAAGACTGTGCATTAAAACTGTTAGCTTCCAGAGAACCAAAGGGGAACAAATGGTCTTTTGCTTTTAAGAAAGTCCAGAATAATCTGGGAAATTACCATCTTGTTAGCTTTTGTTCTGTATCAACTAAATTAGCTGAGACACTAATTACAAAGAGCACTAAAAAAATCATCTTGTTATCCGTGATACCAATGTAAAAAAGCCAACAGGAATTTGGAGAAAGTAAAAAAGGAAATCATTCTTCACCAGTCCACTAAAATACTCTGAGCACATTAATGCAACAGTCAATACAAGAGAAAGGGGGGGGATATTCATCAGGGCTTTCTAGTGCCTTTCAATAAAATCCCCCACTAAAAGTGAAAGGAAAAACAATGAATTATTGGACAAGATGTAAGAGCATTCTTTTACATCGTTTGCTCAGTTGTCCCATTCCATGCTCAGAATTCCATCTTCACAACAACAAGCCCAGAGCACTATGGACAGTAAGAGTGGGAGACTCTGGATAGGACAAGGGTGCAACACGTAGCGGTGTTTTCACCACAGCTTCATTCCAACTTGCTCTGAGCAATTTTAGACGAGGTGATACTGCAGAAGTCCTGTCCATATTAGCACCTGCAATGCTGTCATTCCATTGAGGCTAAGCTAGCAGCAA